CCCTTCAGCTTGTCCTGGGTTGCCCTTTGGGTCTCCTACTAGTTGGATGTGCACAAAATACCTCACCAAGGAGGCATTCTAACAAGGTGCCCAAGCACCCTCAACTGGCCCTTCTCAATTTAGAGGAGCAGGGTATCTACTGCAAGCCACTCCCGGATGACTGAGCTTCTAACTCTGTCTCTGAGGGAGAGCCCAACCTGTAGAGAAAACTCATTTCAGCTGCTTGTATCCACAATCTCGTTCTTTCTGTCACTACCCAAAGCTCGTGACCATAGGTGAGGGTAGGGACGTGGATCGACCGGTAAAGTGAGGACTTTGTCTTCTGGCTCAGCTCTCTTCACCATGACAGACCAGTTCAATGACTACATCACTGCAGATGCAGCATAGATCCACTTATTGATCTCACGCTCCATCTTTCTCTCGCTCGTGAATAAGACCCTGAGATACTTAAAATCCTCCACTTTGGGGGCAGGATCTCATCCTTGACCTGGAGAAGGCATTCTACCCTTTTCCAACTCAAGACCATGGTCTTGGATTTAGAGGAGCTGTTTCTCATCCCAGCTTCTTCACATTTGGCTGCGAACCGCTCCAACAGAAGCCGGAGATCACGTTCTGATGAAGCGACGGGACTACATTATCTGCAAAAAGCAGAGACTCAAACCTTAGGCCACCAAAATGGATCTCCTCAACACCTTGGCTACACCTAGACATCACGTCCATAAAAGTTATGAACAGAATCGGTGATAAAGGGCAGCCTTAGCGGAGTCCAACTCTCACCGGAAACAAGCTCAACTTACTGCCACCAATGTGATCCAAGCTCTGTGACTATCTTTGCTATGCTCTTATTGTGTTTAGTTTCTAATTCCATTTTTGGTTCTTTTTAAAACACAGGAAAGGTTTTTCTTTGCCCTGCTAACGTTTTGTTTGCTGACTGCAAAACATCCTCAGAGCTGACGCTGATGGTGGCGTCACTTCCTACTCCGTTTATCTGCGGACAGCAGAGGACATTGTCGCCCTCTGCTGCCCGCTCTCCCCTCTCCGATGATGCAGTCCCATGCACGATCCAATGTGTAGACCCCATCGTCTCTGTTCATGGTCCCACATCCACGTCTCCTTATCTCTATAGCTTCTTTTATCCATCTTTTGTATTTCTGTTGTTCGGTGTTTATGATCCTTGTGTTGTCCCAGTCCATTATATGGTTTTCTCTTGTGCAGTGATCTGTTACGGCTGACTTCTTTATTGTACTTTCTGCTTCTTGTTTTGATGCTCTTGTGTGTCTTCGACTTGTTTCTTTCTCGCACTCCTTTCTATGTTCTATTGTTCGTGTGTTGAGTTGGCGTCCGGTTTCTCCTGTATGTTTTATTGCAGAGTTTGCATGGGATTTTGTAAACAACTCCACATTTAAGTCCAGCTGGTATCTTGTCTTTTGGGTGTACTAGTCTGTTTCTGACTGTTGTGTATGGTTTTGTTGGTGTGTCTCTGTTGTGTTTTTTTCATTGTTGCTCTTATTTTTTCTGTTATGCCTTTGATGTATGGTGAGTTATCACTGGTTTTGGTTCTTGTCTTTCTGGGTTTCTGGTTCTTTGCTTAGGTTGTTCTTTTCTTTCTGTTGTTGTTTGTTGTTTTCCTTTATTTATTGCCCATGTCGGGTATGCGCAGGTCTTTAAAGCATGTTGTATGTGTTTGTCCTCTTGTTTACGGTCTCTTTCTTCTGTTACCATGTTTGCTCGGTGATATAATGTTCTGATTACTGACATTTTGTGTGTGGTAGGTTGTTCTGATGTCCATAATAAGTATTGGTCTGTGTGTGTCTTTCCGATATGTGTTTATGTTTAGGGTCCCATCAGACTGTCTGCTTATTTTCATGTCCATAAATGCTACACTGCCTTCTGTTTCTAACTCATAAGTGAATTTTATGTTGCCTGTGTCGTCAATGTTATTCAAGTGTTGTGTTAGTGTTTCTGTTTGACCTTTTGGTATGATTTCCAGTATGTCGTCTACGTAGCGTTTCCATAATTTAATTTGCAGTTTGGAGGGGCAGTGGCTATGGCTTTTTGTTCTAGGTCTTCCATGAAAAACTCGCACAGGGTGGCTGATTACCCATGGCGAAGCCTTCCAGTTGTTTGTATATAGTGTTGTCATATGTGAAGTAAGTGAGTTAGCTACCAGTCCTATCAATTGTGCCATGTCATCTGCTGTGAGGTTTGTTCTTTTGTGTAAAGTTTTGTCCTGTCTGATTCTGTTAACTACTATGTCAATGGTTTTTTGGGTTGGTGTTTTTGTGAACAGGGATGTGACATCATGTAAGATGAGTATGTTGTTATTTTCTATTGCTATCTTTTTTAGTTCTTTTGCCAGTTCTGTGCTATTTTTGCAGTGTTGATCTGTGTTACCTAATAACGGGCTGATGATTTTGCTGATTTCTTTTGCCATATTGTATGTTGGTGTACCTATGCTGCCTGCTATTGGTCTAAGTGGGGTGTTTTGTTTGTGTATTTTTGGAGTTCCATAGATTCTTGGTATTATGTTTGTTGTAGGAATCCAGTGTTTTTACATTTTTTCTGTTATTTTGCCTTTTTCTTGTAGTGGCTTCAGTAATTTTTTTCAGGTTTTTCTTAACCCTTTGATGCATGAATTATGAAATCTTCAACCATGACTTTTTTAAACAATTTTTTTCATTCATCTTTAGGTGTGAATGAAACAAATTTCATATTTACATATTTTTTGTAACATTTAATTTACACATAGTTTATTACATGTCCATCTCAGTGGACAGCATGCATTCTGAACATGAAATATGTTGGTTTGACTTACTGAAGTCCAAATGGAGGGGCTCAAATGCAATAAAGTCTTCAACAGCTGTGCTTAATAACAAAAACAAATAAATAACAATTTTGAATACCTGTCCACTGTAGTGACCATTATGCATCAAAGGGTTCATGCTTTCTGTTGGGTCTTTTTTAAGTATTATTTATATATTTTGTCCTCTAGCATCTGTTTCACCTGTTGTTTATTGTTTTCTTTATCCATTACTACTTTGGTTCTTCCTTTGTCTGCCGGTAGAATAGTCATACAAGGTCCAAGACCTTACACCTTGTATCAGAGGGCCTGGTACCACATACTCTCGGAATAGCCCACACGGAGCCCTCCGAGTGACACAGTCGAACACCTTCCCTAAATCCATAAAACACCTGATTGGGTGGGCAAAATCAGACGCACCCCCCTGAACCCCCCTGAATGTGTAGATATAAGACTATAGAGCTGGTCCAGTGTTCCACAGCCAAGACGAAAACCACATTGCTTCTCCTGATTGAAGTTTGACAATCTGATGGACACACGTATGGGCACCTTTATGCTTGAACATGGTCTTCGTTATGGACAATCCATGACAAGCATAGAAGTCCAAAAACAAAACACTACTTGGATTCATATTGGGGGGGGGGGGGGGGGGATTCCTCCCAACCACCCCTCCAGGTCTCACTGTCAATGCCCACATGACCATTGAAGTCCCCCATGTATTGGTTTTTGGTCCCCTTGAGCCTGACTCCTTCTCCCCTGGCCTAGTAAAGAGTAGCTGCCAGGTCACAGCATAGCTATTAAGCCGTAGGGGTGGGTCGATAATTGAGATTGGTAGCTGAGTGTCGCCATAGCAATCCTGTTGTAATCTGAAATCTGGTCATCCCTACTTGAGCTTTTAGATTCATGCTCCACAATAACTAAGCGGATTTTGTGTTTTGATGATTTATTTAAAATAGAAACACCTCATGTAGACGTAGAATATTTCTGTCTGTCTCTGGTGAGTGTATGTCTGCACCTGAGTCCTCACCTTTTAACATTCCCAATAAGACTCTTTAGAAGTCAGCAGATTATGTTTATCTTTGGTCCTTGGAAACGGATGCTGTAGCCCACCTGTGTCCTATTGAAAAGTTACCAAATTGTTGAAGGACGTGTTTATTTAAGGGATGACAGTTAGAGTTTGTCTGTGAAAATATTAGCGAGGTGCTGCAGAGGACTCTACATAAACAGAGGAAATGCACAAAGGAAACAGCCATGAGTTCAGAAAACAATTATAAACTGAAGCATCTGAAGCCCTGCTTAAACCCATCTCTAGAGAGACCCAAACATGGCTGCTCACCAACGTTCACCATCAAACCTTACAGAACTGGAGAGGATCTGAATGGAGGAATGGCAGAGGATCCCCAAACCCAGGTGTAAGAAACTTGTTGCATCTTTACCAAGAAGACTCATGGCTGTATTGGCTCAAAAGGGTGCTTCTACTAAATACTGAGTAAAGGGCCCGAATACTTAGGACCATGTGATGTTTCATGCTTTCGTTCTTTTTTAAACACAGAAACAGTTTTGTTTACCTGTTTGTAGCTACGGTTTCGCCGACAGCTGCCGGCTTCTTCAGGCTGATGCTGATGGTGGCGCGTCACTTCCTTCTCCGTTTATCTGCGGGCAGCAGAGGACGTTGTCGCCCTCTGCTGCCCGCAGATAAACGGAGAAGGAAGTGACGCGCCACCATCAGCGTCAGCCTGAAGAAGCCGGCAGCTGTCGGCGAAACCGTAGCTACAAACAGGTAAACAAAACTGTTTCTGTGTTTAAAAAAGAACGAAAGCATGGATTTACAAAGACACAGCAAGAACACACCTAAGATGTTCAATGTGATGTTTCAGTTTGTCTGTTTAAATAAATCTGCACACATTTCTAGAATTCTGTTTTTCTGTCAATATGGGGTGCTGTGTGTACATTAATGTGGAAAAAATGGATTTAATTGGTTTTAGCAAACGGCTGCAATATAAAGTAGAGTGAAAAACTGATGGGGATCTGAACACTTTCCGTACCCACCGTGTTGAACTGAGAGGTATCTGTAATTGTTGTCAGGACAGATCTAGTCACACAGAGGCTTCTCTGTAGTTACTACTAAAGGGACATGCCCTGTGATGTATCATAATAGAGGGGAGTTAAGGTTGATGATGCTTTGTGTGTCTTCTTGTAGGGAATGGCTTTTTCCATGGAGGAGCGTCTCCAGCTGGGAATCCATGGGCTGCTACCTCCCTGCTTTATCAGTCAGGACATCCAGCTGCTCCGAGTGCTCAAGAACTACGACATGAGGAAAGATGACCTGGACAGGTGAGACAAAACAAATCAGGGATTCATGGTGTTTTAAAATGACTGAAGACTTTATCCTTCAAAAGAGTTGCATTTAAGCTAATCCTTCTTGTGTGCAAAGAGATCTTCCTTTTGGAACTTTTCAAAACGCGACAGATTAGCTATCTGCCCCCTGGGATCATCCATCTCCTAACACTTTAGGTTTTACTTCATAAATCTGCTTACTCTTCTGTTTTTCCATTTACTCCCTTTTCCTTTTGTTATTACAATCTCCTCAGCGACCAAATAAAAGCTTCAAATCCAAATAACACGCTTCATTACTGCTCAGAGAGCATTGCATAACAAATACACCACACGCTAACCTTTCAGTTTGATCAGCCGGCGCTTGTTTTGCTTTTTTCTTCTTTTGTCATCATCTGATCCATGAGCCGCCACTCTCAATATGAAAGATGAGTGACTTTTGTCGTCTGAGATGGGATTTGGGGGAAACAGGAAAGAGATTGCCTCTTTGCAATCACAGTTACACATAATCTAAAAACAGCTGTTCTCGTGTTTTATCAACAAGTCACTCGTAGCCTGTGGGGATGTGTGGCTGTGCTCTGTTTACTGACAGTCTGCTTCCCAATTCCTCATCCTTCTTTGGCACACACTGCAGAGTGCTGTCGTTTATTACATTTTCTTAAGAAATGTCCAACTCGTAACCTCTTCTTGTTCCATTTTTGCCTCCCCAATTTCTAATTTAAGTATTAAATGACTCGGGTTGGAATGTTTGCGTCAGAGTTGAAGAGACTAGTGAGAACATTAATGCTCTTAGATGATGGAGTGGCTTCAGTGGCCACTGTGACCTTTAACAGAGGAAATACATTTTCAAAGTTTTTGCCAACTAAAATACTACTCTGTATAAAAAGAGCCAACTAAAGAGAAACTTCACATCCAATGAGACTGTCAAACAGAAGAAACAGATGTAAGACAGGCCTGGTAGATCTGAGCTGGTTAATCACTCAGAATGAGATGAATCCAGAAAGAGATGGATGAAAATGTGTGGACACCTGCCTTTAAGTCACTCTATAGACATATCTACACATTCAGCATACTTCAGTGAATAAAGTAATCAGTTTATTGAATTATGTTCAGGTTTAACATATAAAATAAAATCTTATCTAATAAATATAAGTGTGAGCTTCAACAATAGCAGTCTGCAGCAGTGCTTAATGGGGATTTTCATGTGATTACAGTTTGGTTCACATTTACTAAAAAGGAAATCCACGTATATCTCAGAGAAAAATCAGTTAGAATGATGAAATAGGATTTCATCCATCTGCAGCCGGTGTAAATGGTCCTTCACTGACTCTGACTAGTTACACCGGTCAGTCCCCTCTTCTAAGGCAGCCGGGCACCAACTGAGAGCAGTGCAGACGTTGGCGCGCTTTCTTAAAGTGATGGATCCAAATTTAAAATAAAGAATACTAAATAAAAGCAAAACCTTCAAACATGAACCAAAATAAAGATGCATCAATATTAAACAGGATTTTGTGAAGTTTCTAAACAATTGTGAACAGAAACAAAAGTTTCTTTTCTAAAATCCAGCCATCCACCAGCTACTATTCTTCAGCGCAGAGGTGAAACTTAAAAACTGAGAATATAGTGCAAAAGTTAATTTATGTCCGTAATCCAACTTAGACTGAAAGACCATCTAAAGGCTCAGGAACCCCTTTGCAGGTGTTCTGGATTCGTAGCTGTGTGTGAAACTCTGAGTCTAGAATATTAAACCTTTTCATACTCTAATTGTCTGAGATGTTGAATGTGGGGTTTTCATAAGTTGTTAGCCGTAATCATCACAATTATGACAGAAAAGGGCTTAAAGTGTCTGGCTTTGCATGGAATGAGTATCTCATTTATTAGTTTCACCTTTTAAGTTGAATTACAGAAACAAATGAACTTTTGCACCATATCATAAATATTCAACTTTCACCTAGAGGGTTGGTGGACAAATCTCCTGTCCATTACATGAACACACACAGAGACGAACAACCATTCACACACAAAATCCCCTTTCAGCCTGACATGAATGTTTTGGTCTGTGGGAGGAAACTGGAGTAGCCAGAGAAAGCTCACACATGCATGGGGAGAACATGCTAACTCTAAAAGCTGAGATTCGATTCTGCAACCTTCTCTCTGCAAGGGAACAGCCTGAAGCATGTAAATGCTCAAACTACTGTGCAGAATCCAAATGTAATCCTAGCGTAAGGTTTTATTTCAGGGTATGTTGCATTTAAAGATGTTTTTTATACTCTTTAATAAAGAGCTGTTTAATTGATTCAATAGTAGGTACAGGTAAGCAATCTTGCAAACTGCAAATAAGTTCAGTGCGAGTTGCATGGAGGCCAACATATTTCCAGATACTGGGAAGCCTTTCCATCTGCGGCTTGACCAGGAAATCCCCTGGCCATGCTTTTTCCGGGAGGTAAGTAGTTGTGGAAGTGAAGCTCTTTCAGCAGCAGCACCCATGTCCGCCTCCACCTGTATCTCATACTGAGAAGAGATAACCACAGCTGCCATGTCGCTGGGTTAGAATCACTGAACAATTTAAAACAAGTTAATTCATTGGAAGAATTAGTGGAAGCACACTCAGACTGTTTGTGTGGGAGATGTGTTCTGATTGGACACGCTGAGATAACATCACAAAGGGCTGTCCCCAATCTAAGATAAAGGCAAGCATCTGTGTGCTGCTCAGGCTGGTTTCCAATCCTGAAACTTACCTTCACAATATCTTCCAGTTACATTTTTACCATCATCAGCACAATCGGAGAGTAGATTATTAAAAACATGTCTTGATTAAGCCTGAGCTTGAGGTTTTACTTTTCATTACTTAGTCATAATTTCCTAGGGGAGTGTGATACCAGCTAGCGAGAGAAATCAGCTGTGAACAAATATTAAAGCAGGTGGAAACATCATTGTATTCTTCTCCCTTATAAACTCAGAAGGTTGCTGATAGCTTTTGATCGATTTAAGACTTCATGTGCATGCAGAAAACATCTGAGATGTTGTTGTGAGAATAAGAACAGCGTTCTGCTTGGGAGTGACTGTCGTCGCCATGTTGTGCAGCTGGCTGGGTCCTAACCTACAGCAGAGAAGGCGTGTGTTTTTTGTCCTCCCAACAAGAGGCACCTTGTGCTCTTGGCTTTGTGGAAACTTCCCTGATTGGGAATAGAGCTCGTTCTGGCAGACATTTCTTCATTTGGGTCACATACAAACCTTCAGCTCCCACTCAGTGATCAGAACAGAGAGCTTGTGTCGGCTCTCTGCAAGTCAACTTTGATCCTGAGTATTTTTTCAGTCATTTGAAACTAAAGCAAAATGCCTTTACAAGCAACTGTTCTTTGGAGGCCAGCACTTTTCTGACTTCAATGCTTTTATTCTGACAGGATTTAGCTGTACCGTATTAATTGCAGTCATATGGCAATTCTTTTGTACTCAAAATCATCTAATCATCTTAAAGCTTTATTTAAACTAAAACAAACATCCATGATTCAACATCTGGCTTCTATGAGCTGCTTTTCAGTCCCTCAGGTATCATCGGTGAGGTCCTGATGTTACAGATTAACGTGGTGTTTCTGACACTTCCAGGTATGTGTTCTTGATGGGACTTCAGGACTGCAACGAGAAGCTCTTTTACCGACTCATAACCTCAGACGTTGAGAGGTTTATGCCCATCATTTACACTCCCACTGTGGGCCTGGCATGTCAGCAATATGGGCTCATATTTAGGAAACCAAGGTGAGTCATAACTTATTATTGAAATTTGTTTAAAAGGTAAGTTTCATCTTTCTTTGATGTTGTTTTGAGTTTCCTGAGTGTTGCTTTAGTTTGTTGCCTGGTTCGGTTTTGGTTCTGATTTCTGTTTGTGCCCGTAAACCAGAACCTAGTTTCCTGTTTAGCCGACCTGCCCAAATTCATCACGCTCCTTTAGGTTCTGTTTCTAATTTCCCTTCTTGTCATGCACATGCATGTCTGGGTTGTGTCGGTCTCTACCTGCAGCCCCTCCTGTTTTTGTAAAATTGCTTCACCTACACATCTGCAGGTTCCAGTTTTGACTCCTCTCTGCAGCTACACGCTCCATCAGCATGCAGAGGAAACAAGCTCAAAATAAAAATGAGTAATGTCGGTTTCCTAGTTAGTCTGGAACCGCCCAGTTATTGTTCAGCTTTTATTGATGTACGTTTTACTTTAGCTGACACGTGTAGAGCTGGCTGTGTTATTCCACTGTTTCTGCTCGTTCTCAAATGTAAACATAACGTCAGCTTGAAGGAAATTGTTTAGTCAAAGGTTTATTCAGTTTTTATTCTTTGCAGTCGTAGGAAACAATTTTATCTTTAAAAAAAGCAAATTTTAATGGAGTTCCTCTGGAGAGATGAGGAATTATAACAGATGAGGAACAGAACAGTAAATATATTTACTTAGGCTTAAAAACTATATAAGACAGCTGACTTCAATCATTTAAATGGCAAATATTTGAATTGCATTGGCCTAGAAATACCAAATTACATGAGATAACATGCAGAAATACAGTTCATAAAGTGTCCCATGCCCCTGAAAATCGAGTATAACAGTTTCCTTTAATAATGTCCAATGCTTTTTAAACAGGAGCAGGGTTTTTCTTTTGTTTTCACACTAAAACATTGTGATTATGATATTGAAATCTTCATTTCAAACATGTGAAATAGCAAATGTCATCAGAGAAAAATAAATAAGAAGTAGAATATAATAAATATACATAATTTGTTGCTAAATTTGAAAAACTAGAACATTGATGAGACACTTTGTGGATGAATTGTATTCTGAAGCTCAATGACGGTGTTCAAGTCCATGACCTGGTAGCAGTGTGCTTGCTTGGCATGATCATAGCTGCGTCGTGGAGTGTTCCATGAGAGTCGTGCCAGGGTGGGACTGCGAGTGAAGTGTGATGGAGGGCGTACGCGGAGGGTTTTGTGGGAGAATGCTGCTGCTTTTGGTGAGGATGAAGGAAAATGCCTCAAGAATGTGGGAAATGGCAGCAAAAACCTTTTGGTAACAAGTGAGAACATCAAGAGTGCCTTCCTACTGAGGGATGTTCTCCAAAGTTTTCACAATTCAGCCATGTGCTGACAGGCTGGGAAGAATGTGGAGAGAATGCAGCTGGAAATGAAAGGCATGAGTTTTTCATGATGGGATGAAGAATGGTAACCAGGGTTAACCCAAATGTGCAGACCTGCAGCAGGGCACACATGTCCGTGTGCTGCCTGGCATTTTGTTGACTATAGTTTGTCATTTCACAACAATTCCAGTTTTAGCAGAGAAAGACCAGAGTTGGACCGCTTTGCCAGAATCAGAAATTCTGACATCAGGGGTGCAGTTTGAAGTCAGTCAGAGTAAATTAATTTGGAAACTGAGAATGTTTGAGTTTCAAGAGAGTAGTCGAATATCTGAACATGAAATCAGCGAGAAACTCCTCCTGCCAAATAACATTCTTGATTAATGTTCATAATGCACTCCTAGTGTCCTCCTCACGCACTTTCAGTGAACATTTACACACACACACACACACACACACACACACACACACACACACACACACACACACACACACACACACACACACACACACACACACACACACACACACACACACACACACACACACACACACACACACACACACACACACTTTCTCCTGGTCTCTGTTATTCTTCAGATAAGTTCATCAGGTCCAAGTCTTTCTCTGACAGCAAAGCCCCTGGGAGCAGCTACTAATACATTGAGTTGATAGGGCGGTCATTCCCAGTGCTGCATTCAGGGCCACGATCTGTTTCAGTTGGATCCTCCTCCCTACCTTCAGTCTTATTCATGTGGTTTCAAGTGTTAGGATTGTTTTCACTCTAAGAAGGCTGATCGGAAAAAGAACCCCCACAGCGATTCTCTTCAGTTTCTCTTGGGCTCACTTAGTCTATATATACTACTTCCTTCATCTTTTACAAGAGCTAAAATGATGACCACAATCCATTATTGTAGTCAGGATCTTCGGCCTGTATTCTTGAAATCCATCAAGTTTTCTACAGGATAAGGGCTAAAATAGGCAGAAACCTTTAAAGGTGTGGATTACTCATTAAATCAGTACATTTGCAGTGGTCTCTAGTGGGAATGAATGTATTGCAGGCAGTACGCAGGGCACAAAAAAGCCCACAAACCCTCTCAGCAGGGACAAGTCTGCAACATAACACAGCAGGTTTTGGAGACTTATTTCTTGATATTTGGGCATGTCACACAGGATTGGATAACAACAACGCAACTCTACCACTGACTGTTTGCTCTGCCATGCTGATGATTTATTTCCATAAATAACAAGCCTAGAGGAGCTAATGCTAACGGTCTGCTTGAACTCGCTGAGACATCTGCTGCAGATTCCTGGACCTTAAAACAACAACAGCCTTCCTCATTGTGAGTCAAGATCGGTGAATAGAATGCTAATTCACAGTGTGACTTAGCGCTGTGAGGATTTTCAATCCCTAGGTTTTCACCATCTATTATCTGTAAGGAGCTAATGCAGAAGATAGGTGTAGGAGACTATTTTCATGAAAAACTCAGCATAACTGATTTTTATCAGAAATAATCATTCTTTTTTTTCAGTCAACCACGTCTTTAAACTTTGACAGACAACAATTATTTAGGATGTAAAATACATGCAGAAAATAGTTGAAGTGTTTTATCTTAACCCTTTGGAGGCAGGCGTTGCAGATTTGCAACGGTTAAAACCTACCTACCTGGTTGCTCCACATATGTAGTTCATGAGCATTTTTTTAACTCCAAAGTACCCCTGAAGGACTTAGTCGTTCGTGCTTTTATCACAACTTATTTTGAGCCTGAGAGGGTTAATATACCAACAACCACTGAGTCACTCTGCATCACTTTATTTAGTGATGGTGCCATGTCTAATATCTCTGCTCTGATTCGTTGCGGAACCACCGCTTTGTTATAAATCCTTTCCACGGGTACATTTTAGGACACTTGGCACCTAAATCCTCCCATGTACACAACCTTGTTACCCAACAACTTACTATTTCTTCATCACTGCAGTACTAACTGGATGTTATTTCCCAGCATGCTTTCCTTCTTCTCACACTCGGGAAGAATTGTATTTTATTTATTCACCGTCTCACAGTGAGTGGACCCGGTGCTGCTGCCAGAACTCATGAGATCTCAGAATATGAACTTTTAATCCAAAAAATAAAACAAAATAAAAGCGTATTTTTCTATGCTGACCACATGTGAGTTTAGGATTAGGTTCCATTTGAGTCTGGGTTGACTTAAATGTCTCTTTAGAACAATATTTAGGCCCGAGCAGTGAAGCTGCGAAGGCCTATTGTATCTGCTCCGTTTATTATTATTAGGCCCGAGCAGTGAAGCTGCGAAGGCCTATTGTATCTGCTCCGTTTATTATTTAGGCCCGAGCAGTGAAGCTGCGAAGGCCTATTGTATCTGCTCCGTTTATTATTACGCTTTCTTTCTTTCTTTTTTCTTCCGCGTCTTTGACTGGCCTTTAGGGGGTCTTAGCATATCCAAAAAGTCACCAAATTCTGGCCCAATATTGAAAGTGCGTGAAATTTACGTATTTCACTGGCAATGTGAAAGTTCATAAAAGAATGGCTGAACAGCGCCCCCTAGAAAGTGAAAAATACCCCTCTCCATAAAGCTTAGTTTATCGTACAGTTATGAAATTTGGTACACTTGTAGAACTCAACAATACGCACAGAAAAGCCTCTTGCATCCATGGTCAATATCAAACAGGAAGTCGGCCATTTTGGACTAAAGTGGCCATTTTGACCCTGTTTCGGCCATTTCTTGGGTCTATATTTGGTTGAACAGTTTGGTCATTTTTCGCATGATCGTCTCAAAAATAGTGTGCGATCGAACAGAAGCGACGGACGATTAAAATGAGACAATAAAATTGACTTTTCGTAAATACTGAAGGGGCGGGACCAGGCCTCAAAGTTCGAGCACTCGCCAAAAAAATTCAAATTGCTATAATTTCATAAATGAAAGAATTACAGTTAAAGTAACTTTCTATGGACAATCATCATCGCCCCCCGAAGACAAATGAATGGTCAATTGATGATGTCACATAAGCCCCGCCCCTTCAGGACTTAAAAGGTCAAGTTTTACTGGGAAATTTTCCAAAATTTGCCCTTTCAAATAATCATCCCAAATTTGTATCAGGTAACTGAAGACAAGTTGGGGTTGCTTGGCGTCACTTTATGGGAGTTTTATGCAGAAGGCGGGGCTGTGGCGGCGCGGCGAACTCAGGCGTACCACTTAGGCCTTACGTTTGCCTCCCATTTCGTCATTTCTAGAGATATCGCCACGAAACTTCTTGTGAGTGATCCTAGTCCGGCCCCCCAAAAAATCTGATGTGACATTCCGGTGGGCGTGGTCTATTTGCTGAAATAGCGCCCCCTAGGACCATTAAAACTGACAGCCCCAAGCCATGCTTTGACTGAGGATTACGAAATGTGGTACACTAATGTGGTGTCTCAGGACCTACAAAAAAGTCTCTTGGAGCCAAGTGCAAAGTCGCACAGGAAGTCGGCCATTTTGGTCCAAGTGCGTGATTTAGTGGTTTTCGCACACGTTGTTTGGAGAGTGATGCTCCGTCGCCCTTTTCACCAATCGCCTTCACACTTCTGCTATATACTCTTAAGACATAGATGAAAAAATTCAACCGTCGGATTTTAAATAAGTATAAA